CCGGCCGGAAAATAAAGTTCTCCAGTGAGCTCTCATGACCGTGTCGTGCTTTAAGGGATCGTCGCTGAGTACTGTGGGGACGAGGTCCAACGTTTCCCACTTCGCTGCTTTCGCCTATTAAGGCGCGCCTGTTGGGAAGACTGTGAGTCGAGGGGCGGAGTCGCGGGGAGGCCTCGCCGGCGTTCACGCACGCTGCGTCGCCGCCACTTCCGCGTCGTCGACTTCCGGCTGCCGCCATCTTGCTAACGCGGAAGCCCCCGGCTGGGTGGGAGTCCGGGCCGGACCGCGGACGGTGCGGACGGCGCTATGCCGTCGTCGCCGCTGCGTGTGGCGGTGGTGTGCTCGAGCAACCAGAACCGGAGCATGGAGGCGCACAATATCCTCAGGTAGTGGGCCGCCCCTCCCTCAGGGCCCCTACTCTACCTGTGCTGGCCGCCTCGCGGAAGCTCGAGGGCGCACCCCGTCCCGTGCGGGCTCCCGGGGGCCGGGGCCGCGGGGCAGTCAGTGTGGGAACTGAAACGCCGGGGTCGCAGGAGTCGCGGGCCGGGAGACCCCCAGGGACGGGACTGTTGCGCGGGTCACAGCGGGCCGAGTCTCGCGTCCTCCAGGGTCGAGGGGCTACGTCCACTGCAGAGTTCGCGCCACGTCGCCCCAAGACGGAGCGAGTCTGGAAAGACGATGGTGGCCTAATGTGTTGAGGTCTCGAATTTGTGTCTTTCATGCTGTCTGCGTTTACAACTGTCGTACAAAACACTACTCTCCCCCAAAAAGAGAAATAAGTAATTTCTGGAACGCATGAATTGGGTTCGGCGGGGCTCGGTTGTATCTTTACTAACTTACCTCTCATTGACGCTCGCGTTGTTTATGCTTAATGAAAGTTTTTTCCTGCTTGACATCTTGTGTTGGTGGTGTTGGTGGTTCAGAATTATTTGACAGAACGAGAAATTGATCACTTGCCTTACGGTTAAGATTTGGTATAAATATCAACCTTTTTGGTTTTGTTTTGTTTTGGGGACAGAGTCTCTCCATATAGTTCAGGCTGGCCTTGAACTATGTATTATCCCAGGTTGGCAGCAAACTCACCCCCGAACCTTGCGTCTTGGCCTCTGAGTGCTGGGGATTACAGGCGTGTGCTACCACGCCCGGTTATAATCTGCTAATTCTAAGTTTTATTCTACCTGATATTTACCACACTGTCGACAATATTCATTTGATGTTCTTTTGTTGTTGTTGTTGGTAGATTGTGGTATGCTTTGAGCCTAACAAATCAGTGTAACAATTGTTTTTAAACTAGAAATGTGCTAGAATTACATTGTGCTGGATCTGCATTGGTAAATGCATTCATGCTGTGCTTGGTGCTCCCCTGTAATCCCAGCACTCTGGAGGGCGAGGCAGGAGGTTCACCATGAGTTTGAGACCAGCATGGAATGCATAGTGAAACCCTATTTTAGATGGATGGATGGATGGATAGATAGATAGATAGATAGATAGCATCCATTACAAGTTTGATAACAGCATGAAAGGGTCACACCCTTGGAATATTACCCAAGGAAAACAAAATTTAATATTTTAAATTGTTTGTTAGACCTTCTACTGGTGATTCTTTTTTTTTTTTTCTGGGAGGCTGATACAGGATTTGCAAGTTCAAGCCCAGGCTGGGGAGTTTAGCAGGACCCTGTCTCAAAAATGAATCCCCCTAGGGCCGGGGATTTAGCTCAATGGTTCCAGCACCTGTGTTCAGTGGTTCCGGTGCCTGCCTCTTGCAAGTGAAAGGTCTCGAGTTTCATCCTCAGTACCAAAAAAAAAAATTAACCCAAAAAGTAATGACAATGCTGGGAGGTAGCTCAGGGGGAAAAGCCATGGGTTTAATCCCCAGTAAAACCCCCTATCCCAAAGCACAAGCTTGTTAATGAAAAATAAACTTTTTTGTTAGTACTGGGGATCAAACCTAGGGTCTCATTAATACTTAGGCTATATCCTCAGCCCTTTTTATTTTATTTTGAGACAAGGTCTTGCTAAGTTGTCTAGGCAGGACTCAAGCTTTCCATCCTTCTGCTTCAGTCTCCCTTAATGCTGAGATATAGGCTTGTGCCACCACACCTGAAATATATTGAACTCATGCCCAAGAGACTGAGATCACTAAGTAGTACAGACCGGCCTCCAACTTCAGTCTTCAGTCCTGTCTCAGCCTCCTGAGTTCTGGGATTGCAGGTGATCCAGCTTCCTGGCAAGCTCTTCTGTGTGCGTGTGTTTGTGTGTGCTGGTGATGATTGGTGATTGGACCCAGGGCTTTGGATGTTAAGCACATGCTCTGCCACAGAGATACATCTGCCAGGCCCAGTACCAGGAGTCTTCGTGTCTAAGATGCTTGTAGTTGGAGGGTGTATTCCTTTGTTAAAATAGTTTTAATTTTTTTTTTTTTTGGGTATCAGGGATTGAACTTGGGACCTTGGGCTTTCAAGGCAGGCGGCAGAACCACTAAGCTAAATCCCCAGCCCCACATCTTAATTCTAAGCAGTAATCCCTGGCCAATTTTA